TTGTACATTCACACGTATTTAATGCATATTATGCATGGCTAAGCCAGCATATGAATATATATTTGATGAAAAACGAACAACTGGTGCTTGCCTTTATTCTGGCACAGAAACAAGACAAATTCTCACATCTGTAGCAAATTCTCATCGAGAACGCGAGAGTCGTGTGGTCAGTGCAAAAGTAATTTAAAAGCAAAGTAACAAATGCCATAACGGCATTTGTAAAAGTGTTTTGCCCAGCGTTTTGTTTTGTTTCAGCGATCGTATGATAATTAATTGTTTTTGACCGTGTTTTTCAAAAAAAAACATGATATTAGCTCTTAATATAAATATTAATATCACTATACATTGTAATTCTTAGTCTAAATGTGTTATTGTTCACTTAAATATTAAAGTTAAGGGAGGTCTACCGAATCTCTTAAGTTAAGAGAAAAGTAGCGAGAATTTTAATTCTCTTAACTTTTCGAAGTTTCTGGCATCGCTTTTAAGAGAAAAGTAATGTTACGGTAAATGTTAAGACTAATTTGTTCTGACAACGGGCCCGCAGGAGTACAGGGAGTACAGGAAGTACAGAGGCGGCCATGCACAGGCTGCTTGTTCGAAGAGGCGGCTTAGATTGGTTGACCGTAGTGCGGCATTATTATTGTTGTTGGTTGTTTATTTATTGTTATTATTATTATTGAAGTATTAGCAGTAGTAGTATTAGTATCAGTCATTATCATGCATTAATATAATATAAGTATTGTGGATTGTTGTTGTTGAATGTTATTATAAGGCAGGTTTTCCGCCCCCGGTATTTTTTTAATGGTGTTTAGCTAATATATTATAATTCATGTTAGGCCACCGCATTTTTTATTTTGTTGGTTTACAGAATATTTTTGTTTGTTGTTGTTGATCGTAGGGTTAAAAAAAACAATGTCGTTTTGTGCAGATCAAACAAGTCCAAATTACGTGAGTACTGTTATACATGGATATTGAAAGTATTTTAAGAAAACTAAATGAAAACAAAACTTCAACTTGTAATTATTTTACTTTTATTATAAACTGTTGTTATGAAAATGGTTTTTGTTTTTACCATTGAAATTTTTTTATTCATATTTCTTAGAGAAAAGGTCGCGGAATAAAAAAAATACGAATTTTCAATTTTTTCGTTTTTCGCTTGAATAAATTCGGCGTCCGGCGGATCTGTAAACCAACAAAGATAAAAATTCTCGCCCTGATATTATATATATATATATATATATATATATATATTTATATTATGCATAGTATGCTAGGCATAGTGTAAGTATAGTATACGGCAGCAGCTGTAACGCATGTTGTTGTTGTGTTCCCTCTCTCTCTCTCTCTCCCTGTATCTCCGTGTGACCAGTAATGTGGTTTCCTCCTCTTCGCTACTACAGAGAAGGATGAGTGCGCACAGGGAGACCATGGCTGCCAGCACGCGTGCGTCAACACGCTCGGCTCCTACCGCTGCGAGTGTCGCATCGGCTTCGAACTGCACTCTGACGGCCGTCGCTGCGAAGGTAGGCCGATAGAGGGAGCCACGTGCACCTCCCGCCGTGCGCACGAGAGTCGGGTTTAGTCGCATGGCCGGTCCTACTTCCCACCTGTACAATAAAACATATATAAATATATATATATAATGTTTTTATACACATATATAATATAGGATGATAGTAAATCATGGACAGTGATTTACGAACAGTAATTCAACAATCCGACGTGTATTCTCCACTATAACTCACCTTTTGCACGTCGACTGAGTTAAAGCTAAGTGAGATTCACCCACCACACCACACACAACACACACACACATTACACGCACACACACACACCCACACACACACACAACCACACACACACCACACGCACACACCACGCACACCACACGCACACATACACGCACATCACGCGACGCACACACACACAGCACACATACACGCACACACACACACCACACGACACACACACACCACACACGCACCACACACACAGCACACACCACAACACACACACACACAGTACACACACATCACACACCACACATCACAACACACACACACACACACATAACGCTGCGGGAGGAGGGACAATGACAATTATTAATCGCCTAATATCTTCTCAGCTCCTCATCCCACTGAGGGAAGAGCAATTAGCAGGTTGCTTACGGCGCCATTGTTGGTCGCGAGTCGTTAATTAAAACTTATAATTACGTTCGCTCGTGCGGTGGGGGGGGGCCATCGTGTCAGGTATTAGGCTAGGATGTGTAATCTCATCTGTATATAAGCCTCTGTGTGTGAGCTAGTCTATATCGTGACGGTGTCGTAATATATTAATGTCTGTAACCCCAGCGCTTCTTACTCTCTATCTCCCCTCCCCCCCCTCTCTCTCTCTCTCTCTCTCGCTCGCTCTTTCTTTCATTCTCTCTCTCTTTCTCTTTCTTTTTCTTCTCTTTTTCCGCCTTCACTTCCTGCCTGCCTCCTCTTTCTTTCTCAACTTTCTCGTACCACATTCACAGTCTATACAGACACATGTACATATAGACTGTTTATAATATCAGGATTTGATTGATAGACTCCTGATAATATTATATTGCTTCCCCACTGTCATAAAAATTATACTCAGTATAATTTATATCAACCACCACCGTCAGGTGCTGCCACCTAGCCAGAGTGTTGTAAAGCTTTGCCTACATGCGAGTACTGCTGTTGTTGTGCTAGCAAACACCCGAAATAAACGGGCGTTTATTGTTCCGTTCTACGTGTATTTAATCTAATCTAAACCCGACAACGGGTTCACCCTCCTGTGAGAACATTTCTCGTGAGGTATAAGCAATGGCTTACCTTTCCCCCTCTCACACATTAAGTTATTCGCTTAAGTTATTCTTTATTAGCATGTAAATATTCGATTACTGTACTGTACTGATTACTACATATATTTCATTTATATGTGTCCAACATATTTTCTACATAACTTCATGTCTGCTGATTGTTCTATTTCCAATTATGTTCAATTTTGCTTTTGATTTATTGTTATCATACAAACATTTTGTTCAAATATTTCTCATCATACATCTTATTTTTATGACAGATGCCTTTATACTTAATTAAATTTCTCTAAGGGTTGGCTGACTAGATGACCGTATGGTCTTTTCGCCATCCCTTCACTGCACGTTATTTATATTTTGTTAAAAAATCCTTGTACAGTAAAAACCCGCGTATAAGAACATAGATTTTTCCAAGTTAGCCTCAACATGTTCTTATATAAATGGTACTTACTGAAAAATTAGGCTCAAAAGGTTCTTAAATAGGTTCTTAATTGTTTCTACTTTTAATATGTACTAGCTGA